TGCATGGCCCCAGATACAATTAGCCCAGTCATTTCTTTCTTGCTAAACTCATGCAGGTCATTAAATGAATCCACTTCTGCTTTTTATGCTTACCTAAAATCATCTTTTCTTGTACTGTAATGCTCTAGCAGCTGATGATGATGCAGAATGTTTGAGGCCAAATACTGCCATCTTACCGTGGCCTCTCAACATCACTTGGATCAGTATGTGCTCATCAGAGGCAGAATTTGGCCTTCATGGCATAAAACGAGTGAAATGCTGACTGTTGATAAATACGTCTTTCCACAAATACCCGAATCGGGGGGAAAAAATACACTGAAGCTCACGCATAAATAGGTTTGCTTCTGTGTTTGCCTGGTGATGTAAATGCATCCAGCATTTTACAGAACATTTGGGGAAGCCAGATCCCCAGAAACCTCACAAACAAGTACAAGTTGAAGTTTTGATAGCTGGAGGGTCTAAACTTAGGGAAGAAGCATGTAGACATTTCTCACTTTTGCAGCCTATCGATTTCATTCCCTTCTTGACTGTGAGTGCAGCATGTGTAGCACAAACTATTCATAGTACTGTAGACAACGTGTCTTCTGTCTGTTGAAAAAAGTATCACCAGTAGCACAATGCGACAGGCGAAGCTTCTAGGTACAGTCAAGTTCAGTTAAAAAGCAGTTGCGTGAGTGGACTGTTACAGCATCACTTTGAAGGTGCTGGGTGTTCTGGTTTTCTGTTACGCATTTTACATAGAAGTTTATGAAACGAACTTTCTGTTTACTGCAGCCTTTTTAATATGCGTTTGCACTTCATATTTGTTTTGGCATGCATTTTAAATATCTTTCTCCATTGCTTCTTACCTAGTAAATAAAATTACCAGAAGAGCAAAGATAAGTTGTTAAAACTTTTCCTTTGCATTTAAGTTTCAAGGACGCTAACACAGAAGCTACTAAGGCAGCACCATGACAGCAGTAAATAACTACGAAACTGTGGAAGGAGGAAACTTTAAAAACTGCAGAATGTAGAGTACACCAAGAGCAAATTCAGATGAAAACTAGCATCTCTCTTTTTTCTTTAGAAAAGAGAGCTACCAAGACCCCCTGTTCAATGGTTTACGTAGGGATCCCCCAAAACAGTCTTTGCAGTTTGCCAAATGATCACGTGCCTTCGCAACCTTAAAAAGTACAACAGAATGTAAACCAGGTGCTTTGTAACTGGAGCAGTGGCTTTGGTTTACTTCTGATGCAGTAGTTTTGTATATAGCTGTTACTATAGATAGATAGGTAATTTGGAGCTGGTAAACTTCTGTAAAGGAGCAAAGGAGGGCAGAGAGCATTCCCCAAAATACCTATGATCATTTCAAAGCTAGGAATTGAAGGATACCTAATTCAGTTACAGTAAACCTGCTGCTTGAAATCTGCTCTATCGAAAGTTAAATGAGGTTCATTTAATTTAAAAATAAATAAGCCCTGCTCCCTCCCCCCCCCCCCCCCAAAAAAAAAAAACAACCCCAAAGACCTTTTTAAAGAAAGGTAATGGAAAGCTCCAAAGAGGCCCAAAGTTACGCTGTCATAGCATCTTGGAATGAGATGGTAAACAAAAAACGAGAGCTAGATGAGGAGAAATTGGTGGCTAGTACTCACATAATCAAAGTCCACATATATCAGACCATACAATTAATTCCCTGGCCCAGAAAGTGCAATTAATTTTGTGTTCTGGAATATCAGCAGGTTTCCTTAGTTCTTCCTCGGGCCTCTTGCAGTTACTCTTCAGTGATCGCATACTGTTATTGCACGTTAACCGTGGGAGACGGTAGGTGTCTTGTCAGCTGAGGGACAGCCAGTATGTTTGAATTTGATTTGTTCCAATTTCAAACCGGTTACGTAGACTTCTGGCAGTACCTACATACCAGTGTCATATTTAACCTACTTGTCCATAAAGGACAAAATAATGGGTTTTGGTATTAGCGCTTTTTCAGATCTTTTCCTTTTCTTCTTTGGGGCAAGACTTTGGGCATAATTGTAAATTATAAAGTTATGTCTAAATGCACAGTTCATATGAAATATCAGACCAATTTTAGTTTGGTTTTGTTCCTTTTAGAAAGCAAAGTGTAAAAACGTTTTACTAGTGTTCCAGGAACTATCTGGGATCCTTCTACCTACCCCAAATTCTGCGCTAAAAGTACATGTGAGAAGATGGCATTTTGTCCTTTTCTTTTAAACAGAATCACAAAGAAACTATTACCCTAAGAGAAGGGAGCTGATGGGAGGGTTTAGAAACTTCTGAACTACCTAGGCATTTGCTTCATAGCATCACAGCAGCAGTGAGTCCAGCTCATCCAGCCTCCCTAAGAGCCAACAGTGGCCTGTCCGGCCATTTTGTCTAGTGTGTCGCGTTTGCAGCAGCTGTACTTTAGAGTAAGCCTTGTGTGGCATTTACTTTTGAGCGAGTAAACCACAAAAAGTAACTATGTTCTCTTCTTTGTTTGGGTTTGGAAAATGGTTGGGTTTTGTTTTGATAAATGTCATTCTGTGTTGCATTTGTGTATTCACCCTAGTTGAAAGGAAAATCTGTGTGTTTGGGAGTTCAGTGGAACATTAGGAGAAGAAATGAAGCCCACCATCTGGGCGTGGATGTTGGGTCTAGGGGACCAAACTTGGGTGTTGGGTTGTTTTGGGACGGTGGGGGATTCCGAGGGCATAATTTAAATTAACTCTGTCTAAAATAAAATGTAAGTGCAATAAATGTGCTTTTTTTATTCAAAGCTGTGAAACTTTAGGAAAAAAAAAAAACACAAAAAAAAATCAACAAAAAAAAATGCACATCATTCCTTCATGAGCCTTGTGTCCTACCTGCCTCCCCTTCCTCCCCCCTCTCCACACTTCTCCTCAACTGACAGAAACCTGACAGTGGCCAACTTGCATGTGTTGGCAACCCAAATAAACGTTGCTTTTCTTCCCTCATCTGTTGGGATTGGGGAAAATCCTGCCCCCTACTTCTTGCCACCCGTGAAATCCCTTTGGGATCCAGCGCTGACCCGTTCCACTAGAGCGGGGCCTGCCGCTCTTCGGGATGCACGAGCCAGCCCACCTGCGCCGCGGTCATCCTGACTGCGAGTGCAACGCTCCTCCTGGCCCTTCGGCCTCCGGTTGTAACTTCCCTCCTCACCTTATCTCGGGTGTAGCGATGGTCTCCCAGGGCTGGGCAGGGGACGCTTTTCTTAAGCGATTGCAAAAAAAGTAATGGGTCATCAGCTGCCTCATCGGATCCCTTTCCCCTTGTCAGAACACACGTGCAGGCTGGCCACTGTTGCCTTCTGTGACTCTGCCTTGTTTTGAAGGAGCAGGTATACGCGTTTGTAATCGGTTGTGCCTTTTTTTTACTGTCTCTCTTTCTTACCTGAGCGCATGCTGCTTTTCCTAGATTAGGAAAGGTGCACCGACCGGTCTCTTGAGGGGTTTCCATGAGAGGCGCAATGCATACGTTTCATTAAAAAGCGATGGAAGGTGTAGCACTCAGTAGCTGGACCCTATCGGGGAGTAAGAGAGGACTGGCTTGTTTAAAGCTTATAGATATGCAGATCTATAGCCTTTAAACTTGATTATTTTTTATATATATAGTCAAGACAGTGGCATTACCTCATAATACAGAGGCTTGTTTATGAGAGGCAAAGTATCTAGTAAGGAGAGGAAAGGGAAATTTATATACAGATTTGAGTTTGTTTGTTTGTTTGTTCCTTAGTGCAATGAAATGTATGTCCCACCAATTTAAACTCTGTGCTAACACATTCCTTTCAGCTCTGTTTTCTTTTTTTTTCTTTTTTTTGACCACCAGCCGTTTGCAAGGGGCTTACGACTGCAAAGTAGAAGGGTCCAGTCTGGTTACTTAAAAAAAAAAACCAACAAATTGTGTTAGTAGATTTCCATAGCTGCTTTTTAAAATCTACAATGGAGTAATTGTTTTGAAACTTGTATTTATTTTTTAATTCATAACAAAAATGTTTATTTTCGGTTTCCTGTTACGTAAGTCATGGCAACTCCCCTTCTTCCCTTCTCAAGTTTCCCCTGTAATTGCCAATACAACTTATTTTTCTTGTTTGTTCCTTCCCCCTTTACTTCTGTTGTCCCTTCATTTGTACTTTGGAGTTTTTCTCATGTAAATTTGTACAATGGGAAATATTGTCCAGTTTGGTTAGAGAGCATGGAGACTTAAAACGTATTAAAATTTGATAGCTGAATTCAGATTGAAGAAAACTATTTCTGTGTAAAGTTATTTAAAGAACTCTGTATTATATAAAAGGCAAAAAGTTCTATGTACTTGATGTGAATATGAGAATACTGCTATAATAAAGATTGACTGCATGGAAGAGTCTGAAGGAGATGATTGTTCATTGTGTAATTCACAACTCCTCCTCTCCATGAAGTGCCAGAGTTGCAACAAAGGTGGTTAAGGGGAGTGAAAAAACTTACTTTGACATTGTTGCTTTAGAAGAAAAAAAAAAAAGAGGGGGGGGGGGAAACAAACCAAAAAAAACAACCAAGGGATGCCTGGAGGGTAACCCACCTCCCTTCATCTTCCTTATGCTGGGCCGCTGCCTCCTTGTCTGCTGTGCTTAGCCCTAAGGCGTTTTTACCTTCGCAGAGGGTTTTGCTTCACAAGGATGAGTCTGGACTTCCGTAATACCCGAGGGCGATTCCCCCTCGCCCTGGGGAAAGCTTGGCACCAGCCGGTCTGGGTTCTCTTCAGGGTAACTGCCCTGCTTCTATGGCAACCATTATTCCAACTGTTATTTGGTGACAAGATTTCAGTAAAATGTCTTTACGTTAACTTCACGGAGGTTTTAAATCACTCTCTGAACACGGATATATCACCTTATTTCTTGGGGGCAGCACACGGTATGTCGAGCAAGTATTACAGAAGCTCATGTAGACGCAAGTACCCCACCTCTAAAGCTGTAACGTTCACGCTCCACAAGTCCTACAGCATTCAAAAACAAAGCACAATTTACCTTAGAGGTTGTTTACGGCTAAATTTTATTGAAATGAGGACCAAGGAGCCAAAGCTTTAGTTCCAGGGACCTCTTTAGTTCCAGGGACCTCTTTAGTTCCAGGGACCTGCAAGTAACAAAAGAGAGTCCTGAGAACCTTTTCACCCATCCTTTTCCCACCACCGAGAGCAGGGGAAGTACCTCGGCGATAGTGCCTGCGCTGCCTTCAGCAGCGGTTGAAGCCGCCAGTTTTAGAGCCACAATGTGACACAGCAGCTTAAGAGACGGGGTAATTGAAGCATTAGAAACAAGCAAGAGCCTCAAACTTTTAAGGGGACAACTGCACGGGCCTCTCTCTAGAAAGAGAGTGAGCACGTCCTCAAGGCTAGGTAAGGCTGGGTCCACAGAACAGCATAAAGTAAGTAATTTTGCACCGGTAGCAGTTAAGCTACAACTCCTTAAAAAAGAAGTTGTTACACTGCAGGCTTCTACTGCCAAAACTAGACTACCGGGACTTGACATTCAGGTACCCAGGAAAAGAGCGCGTGAGGGCAATAAACAGTGCAAACAAATACCTGCGCTCTGCACAACAGAGATTTGGCACATTCACCTCTGGGAGCGCACAGATAGTTGCGGAAAGCAGGGCACGTCTACCCGTACCCGGAGAAGAGGGCCAGAAAGCAGAGCCGGGCAGGATGCCCTGGCCCTGTACTGCCGCGGGAGCTTTGGAGCAGAGTCACAAAGCGCAGTCCAGACCCCGCCTGCTCTGGTGACCGGGTTTAGCGCTGTCTAGAGCAAAGCCCAGCCCAGGCACTGCCCAGCCGTGCCAGGGCCCCCGGGCCCGTGCGAGGAAGGGCGGCAGGAGGCGTACCGGTGCGCTGCCGGGATCGCCGCGGCCGGAGGCGCCTATTCCGCGTCGTCCGGAGGGATGCCGAGCTCCTCGTCCGTCCAGGCCGAAGGGTCGGGGTAGGGGAAGTGGCCCTGGGAGAGAGGCACGGTCAGAGCTCGGCCAAGGCCCCGGCCCCCGGCCCCCG